AAATTTAGTTTTATGCACTGGTTTTCATATTTGGAAATATTATTTGAAAAAGAATGATAACACGGGAGCTACAATCATAGCACAGAGAAGGGGCACAAATACTCCTAAAACCGCCGTTGTGATGTGTGTCCCGCTGGCAACCAGAGCAAGAGCCTGAAACTAAAAATGTCAATATGTTATCAGCTGTCACAACTTCTTTCTAGATATGTCTCCAGAGGCAAGGGAAATAAAAGCAAAAATAAACTACTGGGACTACCTCAAAATCAAAAGCTTCTGCACAATGAAGGAAGCAATTAGCAAAACTAAAAGGTGAAGATATTTGCAAATGACATATCTGATGAAGGGTTAGTATCCAAAATATAGAAAGAACTTATAAAACTCAGCACCTGGAAACTGAATAATCCAATTAAAAATGGGCAGAAGACATGAATAGACATTTTTCCAAAGAAGACTACAGATGGCCAACACACACAAAAAGATGCCCAACATCACTCATCATTAGGGAAATACCAATCAAAGCCACAATGAGATACCACCTCACACCTGTCAAAATGGCTAAGATAAAATAAAAAAACCCAGAAGAAACAACAGGTGCTGGTAAGGATGCGGAAGAAGGGGAACCGTCTTGCACCGTTGGTGGGAATGCAAACTGATGCAGCCACTCTGGAGAACAGTATGGAGATTCCTCAAAAAGTTAAAAATAGAGCTACCCTATGAACCAGGAATTGCATCACTAGGTATTTACCCAAAGTATACAAAAATACTAATTCAAAGGGATACATGTACCCTGATATTTAAAGCAGCATTATTTAAAATAGCCAAGATATGGAAGCAGCCCAAATGTCCCTTGATAGATGAATGGATAAAGAAAAGTGGTATGTATATTACTCAGCCATAAAAAAGAGTGAAATCTTGCCAATTGCAATGACATGGATGGCGCTAGAGAGTATAATGTTAAGTAACATAAATCAGAGAAAGACAAATACCATATGATTTCACTTGTATGTGGAATTTAAGAAACAAAACAAATGAGCAGAGAAAAAAAGAGACAAAAAATAGACTTAAAATATAGAAAACAAACTGGTGGTTACTAGAGTGAAATAGGTGATGGGGATTAAGGAGTGCACTTGCTGTGATGAGCACTGGGTGTTGTCTGGAATTGCTGAATCACCGTATTGTACACCTGTAACTAATATTACACTGTATGTTGACTAACTGGAATTTAAGTGAAAACTTAAAAGAAATAAAAAATAAAAATGCCAATATATTTATGAAAGAGACTGTCAGTGCTTCTTAAACCAATATAGTGAATGATAGAAAGAAGGGCATTGAGAATTAATCATCTTAAGATAAGTATCATATATTGTAAGAAATCAGGAAGAAAATGATAAGAAAAACAAAACAGAACTGATGGCAAAGCAAACAGTACAACTTATATAAATAGGTAGGAATATGAATAGTCATACCTATATATAAATAGGTTTAACTGCAGTACACATCTAGTTTTAATTAAACAATTGCCAGAATTAAAAGTGATTCTATAATGAGTCAAACAAATCAACAAAAATGGGATAGATTTGATTATGCAAAAATTATTTGGTAAAATACATAAATATATAAATGATTTGAGATATTTAGAAACCTAAAGGATTCTTTCTCATGACTTCGATGACAATTACGTTTAATGGATTGTACTGAAAATTGGAACTAGAATTTTTAGTTTGCATACTGTCCTCACCTACACACCGGGGTAGAGAACTCCATTTTCCCATCTGGCATATTATCTCATCTTTTTCCGATATCCTGAAACCATCCTCACACATGTAATTTAACTTGCTGCCATGTGGGTAAATCTTAGGTTTCAATGATTCTTCTATTTCTTCTGAAAATTCAGATGATTTAATGGTTCCATGTTCTATATGAGGTGGTTGAGGACATGCGAGTTTTTCTATATGAAGAACAGAGATCAAAGGGTCAAGTATAGATACAATGCTTAAATTCAAAAATGCAATCAAATACCATTTGGGATTTTAAAATAAGGATAATTTGAACAAATTAAATTAATGAAAAACTGAAAAACACTTGAAACTTGCAAGCATATATGTCTCCATAAAATCTATGCTATTATCTACTTGTTCACTGTGCCCCCTCATATTGTCCTGTTCATCCTGAGGAGGAAAATAGGCGTAAAGAGAAATTTTCTCTGGTATTTATTTGCACAATAACCCGAAGTTTTTGTCTGTTCATTTCACAGTAGAAGTGAAAGAATGCTGATTGATTTGTATACTTAGTTTGTAATGTACTGTTTCAAGGTAAAGTGAAATAGGTACAGAGAAAGGTCTTCATCTTGTTCCTTTTCACAAAGCACAGGGGAGTATTAACCTCATTTGAAAGAATGTTATGAAGCAAGTTACGCAGTACTGACCAACACAGCGTGGTATTGACTGCCATCTTCCATCTTTGCACACAATTTCTTCTGCATCCTGAAGCATATAATTGTCTTGACAGACAACAGATACTTTTTCTCCATCCTGATAATTCACCGTCGTTGCCATATTTTGAGCTTTGGGAATCTGAGGTGGAGGGGGGCATGACTGCGTTCTAACTTCTAAAAATATTAAAATTTAGATTTCTTGATTAAAAATCATAAGTTAAACATATTAAACAGATAATTAACCAGAAAACTCAATAATAATGTACCATTAATGATCAAATAATGACATTATGTTCTATATTTAAACATGTTATACTCTTGGGCTTGTAGAGCACTTTAATGTATCACATGTGGTTTATATTCTCACCATGTTACTTGTAGTATCTTCCTTTTATTCTTTCTGTGACAAATCTTGCTTGATTTATGTAAAACTTATTTTAATGGTTTCTAACCATTAGGATGTTCTGAGTTGTCCACTCAGTAAGAGACACTAAATAAATACTGATATCAGGATCTTGTTTACAGATATCCATAATCAAAGGTATTGTGATTGGATTTAAACCCTCACAAGGTGTGGAACGGAAGCTAATTAGTCAGAGGAAGAATTACATGTAGTTAACGATCAATTATCTGATACAGATTCTTGGCTAAGATAAGAATTAGATATGGTCACTAATGTTTACAGTGTGTTGTTTAAAGTTCAAAACTCTCTGGAGGTACTGTTTACTAGCTTGCCTAGTAAACAGTAAGAGATCGATGGGTTAACGAAAAGCACCCTGTTGAACAGATCAGACAGCCTGGCTTCAGTTGCATGACCAGCAAGGGACACAAGATTCCTCTGTAAACTCGTGTTTGAGCTCCCAGAGAACTGAGATACCGCACATGTATCGTGGCAGCTCATAATCTGAAGACAAAGCATGTCTTGTTCAACTGAGGGAAGACTTTGGATGGCTGTACCTGGAGGCTTTTGGATCTCTCTATGATTCCTTGATTTTGCTTTCTCCTGTCGTGCATTTATTTCATTAAAGGTCTTATGTGAGTGTACACTGGGAAGTCTTGTAAGTCCTTTCAGTTACTCAAGATTTTGTAGTCAATTCAGAGAAATATTTGACTGAATACACTTCATTCATGCTTACTAATATTTTCTATTTCTCATATTTTCTATTTCTAAGTGTAGAAGTATTTTATATTTAATCAAAACCCTTTCTTCTTATTTGTTTTAAATATCTTGGCATTTTTTTTCAATGCATTGTCAAAGATTGAGTTTCTTCTGTATCTGATCTTTAACCATTTTTGCCCTAATAATCTTAATTTGTACTTCCTCTGATACACTTTTGCTAAAGGTTGGTCTAACAACTGAATTTCCCTAAAGGCAGAATTACTATTCTGCAAATCACCTGTTTATACTTTTTAAAAAAGTTTCTTTGTATTTTAATTAATTATTTGTATTTTATTTTATTTTTATGTTTTAAAAATTATTCTGTATTTTTTTTGCAGTTCTTTGTATAGCAATCATACCACAAAAAAGCTGTTAAAAGAGAATAACTTTATTTAGGAAAAAATAAATATTTGGAAATTAAGAAACAAAATTCAAAATAACAGGTCAAAGAAGAAATCACAAGGAATATTAGAAAACATTTCACATAGAATTAAACAAAAATGAAATGTATATAAAAATTTTGAGATATAAAAATTTTGAGACTGCTACAGCTGTACTTGGAAGGAAAAATGGAGTTTATCTTTGAAAAGTAGGATGGTTTAAATCCATGTTTTAATTTTCTACCTTAAGAAATGAAAAAATAAAATTAAAAGCAAAGTAAGTAGAATGAAAAAAACAGTTTGTCCACAGAGGAGAAAAAATTGGAAAGAGAAATAGAAAAAAGAAAACAAAAAAATAGTGAATGTTAATAAGGTTAAGAAATAGAAGAGAAAGTAAATGGAGAAAATTAAGTGTTAAAATTGGCTATCTGGAAATATTAATAAAACTGAAGGAAAAGAGAAAACCCAGGAAGAATAATAAAGATGAAAGAGAAAAATAACTATCAATGTCAAGAATGAAAGAAGTGATACCAACAAACACACTATATAATTAAAATGAAAATAGAATATTAAGTGAGTATTAGAAACAAATGTATACCAATTTCATAAATTAGATAAAATAGATATTTCTTCAAAAATACAACTTCCTTGCATTGACAAAAGACAGTAAGAAAATCTGAATATTTCACTACTTATTAAAGAAATTGAATTCTTCATCAAAAAAACAAATTATGTATCAGATGACTTTACAGGTGAAGTCTATCAATCATTTAAGATACAAATAATAAAATAATAATATGTGTAATAATAATATTACATTTATACTTTCAGAAGACAGAGAAGCAGAGAACAGTCCTCAATTTGTTTTATGAGGCCACGTTAATCCTAACAACAAAACTTGGGAGCTACTTGTTAAAAGAATAAGTAGCTATAGATTAGTATTCCTCATGAATATAGATGTAAAACCCCTTAAAAATATATCAGCAAATCGAGTACAGGAAAATATAGAAAGAATAACCTGTCACTACCTCGTAGAATTAACTCTAGGGAGGAGAGATCTGTTCAACATCCAAAAATTTATGTATATAATTCACTGGATTAACAGAATTAAGGAAGTCATATTATCATATTGAGAGATACATAAAAAGCATTTAAAAACATTCAACATGGGTTGATCATAAAATTTCTCACTCAGTTAAGTAAGAATAGAAGGGAATTTCCTTAAACTGATAAGGGGCATCTACAAAAATCCTAAATTGACATTATACTTGTGGTAAAATGTTGAATATCCTCTCCCAGTGATCAGGAATAGGACAAAGTTGTATGTTCTCATCATTTCCTTTCAACAGTTTACTGGAGGTCCAAGTCAGTGTGATAAGATAAAAAATAAAAATAAAAAAGGACCGGCAAAAATAAAGTCTTGTATTTTCAGTGACATAATTGCTTACAGAAAATTGCAACAGATCTACAAAACAGTACCTGATGAATAATGCAACTTAGTATAGTGTCAGAGTATAAAATCAATGTGCGCAAATCGAGTGTGAGGACAAATGTATAGGAAGAAACTGACCTCATCTCCTCCCAGAGACACACAGGTACATATGGAACATTTTCCTCTAAAAAAGACCTGAAAACTAGCTGAATAGCTCCTTCACAACAAACAGTAAAAGGGCCACATCGAGATGGGTGGGAGAGTCAGAGACCCAGTAGGGACAAAACTCCCACCCCTGGCAGGGCTACACACAATCAGGTGGGATCTCACAAATCCAGAGCTTCTCCCTGAGGAGAGAGAGGTTTGTGTCCCACATCAGCACCCCAAACTCTGGGACCTGCAAAAGAAAGATGAGCCCCCCCAACACCTGGCTTTGAAAACCAATGGGTCTCACATCCAGGAGACTCAATGGGCTGCAGAGAACGGAGATACTTCTTTTTTTTTTTTTAAGATTTTATTTATTTATTTGACAGAGAGAGAGAGCGAGAGTACAAGCAAGGGGAGTGGCAGGCAGAGGGGAGGGAGAAGCAGACTTCCTGTTCAGCAGAAAGCCTGATGTGGGGCTGGATCCCAGGACCCTGAGATCATGACCCGACTGGAAGGCGGACACCTAACCGAGCCATCCAGGCACCCCCTGAGATACTTTTCCTAAAGAGCTGGCACCCAGACTCACTACCCCCACGGAACCAATGTGAAAGGAACAGTTTGAGAAACATCTAGACGTATGAGGAGAGCCATTTGCTAATCCTAAAGCATCTACCTGAGGGGCAGGGGTCTGTTGGGACTCTTTCCACGATGGAGGTGTGGCAGGTGCCATTTTCACACTCACCCTCCACCTTGAGAACACCGGCAGGTGCGCTCCAGTCCAGTGCTCTCCTGTGGCCCCATAAAAGCCAGTGGGTGTGGCCCAGCCCTGCCTTCTCCTGCCACCTCACTAAAACTGGCAACGTGCTCGGTCCACATAGGGGACGCTCCTCCATCTCCTGGAGCTAGTGGCCAGAGGGGCTTGCTTTCTGGCTCCCACAGGACTGTAACAATGGGACAGGTAATTCTTGGCAGGCTACCGCCTCCAGGGCACTACACAGACAGCCCCCTGAAACACATCCTCAGTCTTGTTGTGAAAAAGGCCAATTTACTTGTCCTGGACCTTTTGCTTGAGGGGCAGACTTCAGATTTGCCACACATCTGGAGGCTACATAGGTGCTTCTCAGGGCATGGAAACCAGGGGGATGCCAGCTTTGTGCTCTCTTCAGCCTCAAAGAAAACCCAAATACTAATTCTTCAAGATACCTGGCTGGATGTTAATTCAAGACCACCAAGTTTCTGGGTGTTTTGTTTTATAGTGGACTAATGCACTGATGCAATTAGTATTTAGAAATAGGGTTTTGGTTAGTTTCTGTGTAGTAATACATATGTAAAAATTTTTAGAAACCGCAAAGATACTACTTTTATAAATTAGGAAGAAATAGAGTAGGTTTTTGAAAACATTGTGAACAAGAGCTTACCTGTGCAGTTTAGTTCAGGATCCCATCGTCCATTTATGCATGTTGAATGTTTCTGCTCTAGTGTTCCTCTGCATTTATAACTTATTTTCTCATTATGATCAAATACAGTCTTACTTAATGGATTTGCTTCTTGTCTAGTCAAGCTGTATTTACACTTCTCAAGTTCATCATTTGCTATAAAATGAAAATATTCCCTTGAAAAGACTAATTATAAGAATCAAAGCAACTACTACAAAAAATAGCTTAGAGTCAATAGTATAATGAAATTACATTCTGCACTTTGGGGATTAGAAAAGTGTAAGAGGCTCACTTCTCACTTTTTTGGATGATCTACAGACTGAACAGTCATCACCTGACTACATTTGGTCCCATATTTATCTGTGGAAATAGAATATATGAAGTTGCTAGTTTAAATATATTTTTTTCAATAAAGGTAATGTAATATAATAAGAAAAGTACATCTAAGATGTAGTATACAGAATGTGAATACTTAAGTAGATCTTTTGCATGATCACCAAAAATTAGGAACAGATTCTTAGAATTAGAAGTTGGGTGCTTAAAGCCACAACCTGTTTCCTGTTTATACTCTTTTTTTTTTATTTTTAAATTTTTTTATTTATTTGAGAGAGAGAGTGAGAAAGAGAGAGCACAAGAGGGCGTAGTGTTAGAGGGAGAAGCAGACTCCCCGCTGAGCAAGGAGCCTGATGCAGGACTCTATCCTGGGACGCTGGGATCATGACCCGAGCCGAAGGCAGTCACTTAACCAACTGAGCCACCCAGGCACCCTCCTGTTTATACTCTTACAATCTTTGAAGAACTATTTTATATACCAGATCATCCTTATTATAATGCTATAATAGTAAATTTTCACTGACTCTGAGTTAAATATCACAACTTTTTATATAGCTACGTATTTCAAAAATTCAATGCAGATTAAAGTACTTTTTGGATTTGATAAAATATGAGTTGATGTAGGTCTTTGTTAATGATTTATTAACAATTAGCCAAAGAAGTGACAATTTTGTAATACAATAAAAAATAAAACAAAGGAGACTAATTCAAAACACACTAGAGGCTGAGAATTAGTTCTGTTTTTAGGGCTTGTCCACAGTGTTGAGGGAGACAAAACAAGGTGTTCAGGTGATGGTAACTGAAGGACGATCTATAGTCAAAAGGAGTGGTGGCGGTTGTTGTCATTGTCCTATGATTGATTGGTTTCTGAAAGAATTTCTTTGTTTATTAGGAGAAAATAAACATTCAGAGAAGAGTGAACAGTTAGACTAGTTAGAGGTAAAAATAAACATTGAGGGGCGCCTGGGTGGCTCAGTCGTTAAGTGTCTGCCTTCGGCTCAGGTCGTGGTCCCAGGCTCCTTAGGATGGAGCCCGCATCGGGCTCCCTGCTCCACGGGAAGCCTGCTTCTCCCTCTCCCACTCCCCCTGCTTCTGTTCCCTCTCTTGTCTCTCTCTCTCTGTCAAAATAAATAAATAAAATCTTAAAAACAAAACAAAACAAATATTGAGAGGAGAAAATTGGAGTAAGGTCTATTATACCTGTAAGGGGATTACGTTAAGCTGAATATAGGTAGAAGATTAACCTTTGGAAGGCAAACTGAGATCAGAAAAGAGTAATAATTGAAGCAGATGTTTCAGAGTAAGAGTGAAAAGTTGAGAGTTTTCATGCCTGTTATAACCTTGGGTTTTTCCTCCCATATAAAATAAGGGAGATCATCTGTGGAGACAGAAGAGGACAAAGATGAAGTTTGGTCTTGAAGGACTGATGATACTTCTAATGGGAATGTGTTTAGCAAAAATGTAAGGATTAATAAGCAACAAAACTTATGATTCATTCAACAAACTCCTGTTTAATATCTGCTGTGGGTCCGCCAGTCTTTTGTGTATTGGGAATACATCATGAACAAAATAGGAGTAAATCTCGCTCTCACAGAGCGTGAGCCCAAGCCCTACCTTTTCGTTGGAAAAATTAATGCCTAGAAATCTGATGAATAAGTAAGACTGGACATCCAGGGCTCTCTTTGAATGTAAGACCTAGGAAAACTCTAGGAAAGAACTCATTCCAAGGGAAAAATGAAAAGGGCCCCAAATATTTTCCATGTTAGTCATAAAAGACTTGGTCATCCAAAGGGTCAGGATGATTTACATACATCAATCAGAAGGAAGTCCATCCATCAGATTTGTTTCCTAGGCTAACCCTGACTGCCTCCTTTGACTGAGTTCTCCTACTGACTGTGAGGGCCTGCAGCCCACCCACCCTTCAGCACATTAACTTGTTATTGCATTTGAAACAGTTTGGGAAATTGTTAGAAACTTTGAGAGAGGCAAGATTCCTGTAGGAATGTAACAAGTGGGTAGTAACTTTGTTTTCCAGGACCTGAAATCAAGAGTGCCACATAAAAACAAAAGTGGTCTTTTTGCAAATATAGTTCTATTTTCTTGGTCATTAGTACTCATATTTAAATCATATGAATAACCATAAATAACACTTATAAACAGTGTTAATATCAGAGACAGAAAGACTGATAAAATTCTATTGCTAATTTGTAGACATATAATGAGCGATAAGCAATGTCTACCTTCATTGTAATTTAAGAACTTACATTTTTAAATAAGATTTTATTTACTTATTTGAGAGAGAGTGAGAGAGAGCATGAGCAGGGGGAGGGTCAGAGAGAGAGGGAGCAGCAGACTCCCTGCTGAGCAGGGAGCCTAATGTGGGGTCTCAATCCCAGGACCCTGAGATCATGATCTGAGCAGAAGAAGGTGGATGCTTACCGACTGAGCCACCCAGGTACCCCTAAGACCTGACATTTTCAAGAATATACCTAAATTTCAAATATATGTTTGCAAATATAGTTTTTACCACAAAAATATTAAATTTCATTGACTGTCAATTTGAGAAGTGTCTTCTCACCAATGCACTGAGGAAGTGGGGTCCACATTCCACTAATACATGTAATTGACTTGTGTCCAATCATTGTAAATTCTTCTTTGCAGTTGAACTCTACTGAATCTCCATGGCGATAGGGAGGGGAAGAAGACTCAGCAACAGAGCCATAATGAGGTTCAGGTATATCTCCACATGTACTCTCCACCTCTGTGAAATTTTCACAGAAATATGTTTGTTTACAAAATGCAATTTATGTGTTTATATGAATACAAAGAGTGTCGACTTATGTTTAAATATGAATATTTTTATACATTACCAATACACATAGGCAAGTCTGTCCATCGTCCATCAACACATTGAATTTTATTAAAACCCTTCATCAGAAATCTAGTATTGCAAATGTATTCCACCAAATCATTGTGTTCATAGATTTCTTTGTCTGTTTCTTTAACTTCCCCATTGAGGAGTTGAGGAGGTGGTGGACACTGTTTTGTTTGCTCTACAAGAGAAATACTGTGTGAATAATGGTTAAATTATCTATTTTACAACTTAGAAATCCATACAATAGAGAGTTTTTAGAAATTAATTTATATAATTATAATATAATTTATTATAGCCTTCTTAAACAAGGTGTTTGCACCAGAAACATGTTTCCCAGTTCTATTACTTACACTGAACTAGTGTATTGGAAATATTTAAGCCCAAGAAATATGTTTAATAATCTAGGTATTCTAAGATGTATGCAAACCAATTAATAAATGTGGTTGTGTAAATTATAGCAATATTCATATTCCATGGAAACATTTTATCAAAACTGTTTGAAAAAATGCCATCGTTTGAGGCAAGCATTTGATCAAGATGTTTTAACTTTGATTAAGCCATACATGTGATTCAATTGACTATAAGTTGCTTGAATATGGTTTAGACACTCAATAAAACTTGAGGAAAGGCCCATGCTATACAAAGTGTCCAATATTTGGTGGAACTGTAGGCAAAAGGAAAAATAACAAAAGAGTGTGAGACATCATATATGTATCTATGCATACTTCCACTACATATTTCAAGAAAAATTGGAGATTAATTGTTTACATAAGGAAGTCTGAGGTATCTACTAACCAACACATGTCCTGGCTTAACGCACTAGATTATAGACACACTCAAAGCCAACAGAAAATTAAGAGTGACAAAAAAAGGTTGATATCCTAATTCTTGTTTTAGCAATTGTAAGATAGATATTCACCTTTACATGTTGGAAGATTAGGGGACCATCCAAAGTGATAACACTGAACTGAATCTGGTCCAACTCTTTTAAGTCTTTGTCTGCAGGAGAATTTCAACAGGTCTCCAACTCCATATTTGTCTTTTCTGGGGTCAGGAACTAAGTATTCTTCTACTTCTGGAATCTTGCATTCTATTTCTATAAAAAAAGGTCAAATAATTTAGTGAGACTATATAATTAATCATCACCAAAGTAAATTTTATATGTGTCTTGTAAAAATGAGGTGCTGGGTACTGCATATACAGAGGGGCATCAGATAAATCCTTCTCCTTGAAAAATATTACATATTAGATTTTACACACCTTCTAAATTCATAGGGACTCAGAAATATTAAGGCATTGAATAGCAATATATGTATCCTGAAAATGTATTTGTAATGTCAACTTGCTTATACTGGATCTGATTTTATAACTGACATTTATTTATAAAATACAACGTGATATTGTTTTGTACTCTCAAAACATAAAAGTATTCTCTCACATTAAAAAAAGTGATGCTACAATTTAAAATTGCACTCAAATAAGAATTGGTATTTTTGTTTAATGTAAATATAATTGGAGAACCAGAACACACACAAGGCATTTCTAATGTTGTTTAAAGAAACTATTAAAATTGCTTAATTCATAGTATATATTAATTATATTAGTAAAGAAATCAAACTGAATCATAAACTGAAACATGAAACAAAATAAAGAAATATGTTCAAGGCCACATAACTAGGCATATTCTAGGTGTCCTGAATATTTATATAATATACAACTATCTATTCTTATTGAACCTATAATTTATACCATCTATTAATAAATTATTGATTATTCTGATTCAAATTAGGAATATGTAAAATTATCCCTTCAAATTTGCCAAGTTTGTGACATTTGTGACATTCCTAAATATTATAAAAATGAATTTTTCTTATTTGGAACCCTCCTATCTTGCTAATAAATTTATAAAATTAAAAACTGGAATTTAAATATTAGAATCATACTAAAATGAAAAACAATCCTTTGACATATTAGAGCATTTATAATTATTAAAACATTTTGCAGATGAGGAAGAGTAAACAAAGCTTCAAATAAGCTTGGTTGTTGCCCTAAGATACATGTTTAGTCAATGAAGGAACTGGAATTTAGTAAATGATGGAACGGGAATTTAGTAAATGACAGAATTGACCAGGCTGACTCCACAGGATTCACTTATACTTCCTTGTCCTTTAATCATTTTCTTCTCTCCACATCTATGAGAAGTCATTCCAAAATGTTTTCTTCTCCCTGTTGTCTGGGTCCTCCTTTTTTCTATCTATTTGCCACCTATTTCTCTTCTGCCCGACACCTAAACGTTGGAATGTTTCAGGGCTCAATCTTGAGCTCTCTTCTCTTTCTATTCTGCATTCTTATCCAATTTGATATCATCATTTACTGGGTGATAATTCCAAATATATATCTCTGATATATATATTCAACTCTGTAGTTTACATATCCAATTTTGATTGTCCATGGGCAGCTCAACCATAATGTGCTCAAGTCAAAAGTTGTGATGTTCCTCCCAAAGTGTTCCTTCTTCTGTCAGCACCACCTTACAAAAGGCATTGCCGTTTACCTGCTTGCTTATGAAAAAAAATTTAAAACAAGCTGTGAATCGCTTGATTATTACTCTCTCTTGCGTCCAATATTTAGGAAACATCAGCTGTGTTTTCTACCAACAAACTAGATCTCTAATACGTTCTGCTTTGCATCTCGTCAGCCATCACCCTATCCCCATCCCCACACTTACTCACCCTGCATAAGCTCCTGAATCTTCTCTTCCTTACCACAAGCACAACATATGAAAAAAAACTTTTCGAAAAATCTAGATACAGTTATATTCTTTCTTTCCTTAAGTCTTCTTTATGGCTTTTTATCAATCATAAAATTAATCTAAATGCTGACATGCCTTGAAAATAACCTGAATAATCCTTTCTTTGCCTCTTATCCAGCATCAGTTCATAAAATTCTCCCACATCTTCGGTAGAATCTGCTCACCCTGATATTTCCCAAACATTGTTTTGTTGTCAAAGTTTTGCACATACTGTTCCCTTGGCGTGGAACACTCTAAATCCACTCAAGGTTCCCACAGATTCAAGTCCTACTCCTCCTCCTGGAAAATAGTGGATCCCAAACATGAAAGAGAGTCATGTAATAATAGTCCACAGAATTTGTCCAAGTCAGAAAAGAAAGAGCTTTTGGGATCTGAAGAAATTAACACTCAAGGCAGAAGTTGTAAAAGCAGAAACTCAGGAGCAAAATAGCTGAGGAAATCGTAAGAAACTTTAATTTTGGCTTTCTTACACCATACACTAAAAGAACCCCGTTTTAAGTAATATGAAAGCCTGCATTTAGAGTAACAAGCACAGTTATACTTTATTTACAAATCTATCATGTATATGGCCCATAGGAAACATTAATGTACCGTGTTAGAGTAATGTCTTTGGGCTTTAAAACACACTGTTCTCCCAGTTTACATTAAATCAAGAGACACCTGATTTTAGTCATTATTTCTTAAAAATGACTTTAAATAATGCAAATTTGTTCAAAATGGAATATTTTAAACACATATTATTAATTTTGTCAATCCTGAAAAAAAGCATACCTGAAAAAACAGCACTTACCATAACATGCTGGTTTATGAGACCAACCATCGTTATCACACACTATGGAACCTGTGCGCCCATCTCTGCTTTCAAATCCGTCATGGCATTCATAGTCCAACTTGTCATTGAGTTTAAACCATGTGCCATTGCTTTTGATTCTGGCATTCTCCAATACTGGCATGTCACAAGATTCTAATGCATAATACAATTGAAGGTTTCATTTCTAATATTATTTAATGGGCAATGTAATTAAGTCTCATCCCAAGGAGGTAAAAAAAGCTTTATCAATTAGTATGTACTAACAAATTATGTATCATATTAAAATAATCTAAGAATACCAGTGATAAATCATTGTCCAGAAAAAGTTACTCAAAATGAAAAAATATGTTTCTACACAGCGTTTTTCTTATCATTTAAATACTGTGAAAAATTTATTCTAAGAACACTTTTTTCAATCAATTATACTTATGTGTTTATCCCATGCTTGTAATAAAATAGGGCATTACAGATGTATCATACTTTTTCTAGCAAAGCTGAATAGCATTTTGTGAATTAAGATGACATACTCATTAGCAGTGTGACAAATAGGCCAGATTAGTTGAATAAGATTAGTTTTCAACAATGCAAGTAAATTTTTAAGCATTCTATAAAATCTACAACACAATAATTTCTAAAGCTCATATGCTGATATTTTTACCCAAATATATTCCTAATGGCCATGTATTCTTTTAAACTTACCAAGATTGAATAGAGAGATAACTCTGTTGTTTATAATTTGTTATAAGGAAGTGAAGTGTTAAAAGTCTCAATTTTTGCTAACACTATACCAGAATGATGTTAATAAAGGTTTAAATAATTCATCTCAAATGTTATACTGTGTTATGTAGCCAGCTACCTTAAAGCTTTAAAAAAGAAAGCAAAACTAACTAGTGAAAAAGAGAGAGAGATGTTCTCTTCTATAATAGTGTTTTAATGGATAACTGATTACAATTTAGTATAAAATGAGTTTGATATGGGAACAACTTTTATCATTTTTTTCCTGTGGCTAGTGCCCATAGTAAGCATGGAAATTGAAGAAAATAAGGAAGTGAAAACAGTAGAAATGGATATTCAAATATCCACTTTACTTAAAGTGAATATGCTAAATACCAGTTCAAAAGATCACTGTGTAGCTTTGGAGTATAAGATAAACTGAGCAAATTGTTCTTGGAAAATCTTCATAAATATCTAGGGACAGGGAAATCTTTCAACACAGCTGCATTTGGTACTATCTAGAAACATTTCTGTCTCCACTAATGAGATGTTTATGAAGATTTCCTAAGGGAGAGGGTTTTTTAGAAGTGGACCTACCCTGGATCATCAAACATGTAAATTCTACAGGTTAAATTAAAATTATGCACTATGGACCCTGATCTTGACTTAAAAACATAACTTTTATGTCTAGGAAAAAAGACTGACATAAAAGTTTAATCACCTAAAAGCAGGTACAATAGGGCACAAAGATGTCAGCCGAAAATAAATGAGTTTATAGGAGAACACACAGAAGGCTCCCTATCTGTGTAAAGCATCCAAATCACAGGATGCTTTATTTAATTTAATTAATTAATTAAATCACAGGATGTTTTAAAGTGGAAGAAAACTTGAACTAAAAGATAGACTGATACTCCACCCTACAGGTGATTAATCTTAATAGTAAAAAAAATTATATATTTTTTCATTTATCTTTTCAAATGGGAACCATGTCAGCCCCTCCCCCCAGAAAAGAATTAAGTTAAGATAAACTTTGCACAATGATCATGAGGATAATGAATATGAACATAACATTACTCACTAATACATGTGGGTTGAGGTGACCATCCACTTTGCAGACATGTAATTGATCCTGAAGTTTTACCATCTGGTGTTACATATCCTGATTTACACTGATATTGTGTTTCTTTATTCAAGGGATATGCAAATTCATATTCAGAAAAAAATCCATTTTCAATTGTTATATCTGATTTGAAACATCTTTCTGAAAGGGAGACAGTATAAGGAAAAGATAAGCGTGTAAATAAGCATTTTCATAAAGACTCAAATAATATAACATATAAAAAATAAGGAGTCACTTATAAATGAAAACCCAGAAAATCCAAATCACCCAAATTCTTGTGACAGGGAAAATAAGCTATGAATTTCCAAAGATATTAAATCAGGATAGTTCATTAAAAAAATTTTTTTTTGGAATGAAGAAGCAAAATTTAGAATGCTCAGAATCCCTTCTAGGAGATTATTAGAAATTCGTTTGTCTAATGGGTCTGGAATCCTACAGAATGCCAGAACGATACTGGCAATGGATCCTTTCCAGGCACTTGTTTTAAATATTGTGTACTCAGGATCTCTTTAGCAACCCCAGCATTCAGTTAACTAACTGGGGTATCTCAGATCAGGTGATGATCTCAGAGAATTTGCTACCATAGCTACCACAACTCTGAGAATTTGAAATGTCTGTCATCATAACTGGGTGCTTAAAACCATATGGATACATGGAGTTCAATGAGTCTGACACAGATCAATGCATTACATTCATTTATCTTCTAAGACCAAAATGATGATCCTCAAATTATGTATAACTTAACTTGAAACAGTAAAGAAGACTTCTGTCAGTTACCAGGTCTCTTCACAAAATTCAGCTTTATTTATTGACTAGTCCATGGATAAAGAAGGAATCAAAGGAGAAAACATGAAGGATATATTTTTTCATAATTGGTAATTCTATTCCTTCATTTGGGGCACCCAGTAGACTGGACATGGGATACTTGGAATATTAAACACTCAGGATATGGAATTAAAGTATATAATCTTAAAAAAAAAAGACATTAAAGCAGCGCCTGGGTGTCTCAGTCGGTTGAGCATCTGACTCTTGTTCTCAGCTCAGGTCTTGATCTCAGGGCTGAGAGTTCAAGCCTGGTGTTGGGCTCCACGGTGGGCATGGAGCTTACTTAAAAAAAAAAAAAATATTAAGTCTTTTGAATTAAATGATAAAAAACATTTTAAATAAAATTTTGTGAGATGATACTAAAGTAGTGCTGAGGGGGAATTTTACCATTATATAGGTATAATAGAAAAGAATAGGGGCGCCTGGGTGGCTCAGTCGTTAAGCGTCTACGTTCGGCTCAGGTCATGATCCCAGGGTCCTGGGAGAGAGCCCGCATCCGGCTCCCTGCTCCAAGGGAAGCCTGCTTCTCCCTCTCCCACTCCCTGTGCTTGTGTTCCTGCTCTCGATGTGTCTCTCTCTGTCAAATAAATAAATAAATAAAATCTTAAAAAAAAAAAGAAAATAGACTGCATATCAACTCATTGTTTTGCTTTAAGAAATTAGAAAAAGAAAACCCAACATGTGCATAAACTTGAAAAATAGATTGTTGTTAGTGAGATGGTGGAATAGGATGTTTTATTGCTCTCTATTTGATTTATTTCTGTTCTAATCTTTATTATTTCCTCCCTTCTAACTTTGGGCTTGGTTTGTTTTTCTGGTTCCTTGAGGTATAAAGTTAGGATATTTATATAAGATCTTCTATTTTAATGTAGGCACTTGCAACTAAAATCTTCCTTCTTCCCACTGCTTTTGCAGCATCTCTAAATTTTGTTACATTGTGTTTTTGTTTTCATTTGTCTCAAGATATTTTTAAAAATTCTCTTGCACTTTCTTCTTTGACCCAATTGTTTGAGAGTGTGCTGTTTTCTTTCCATGTATTTGTGAATTTTCCCATTCTTTTTGCTGTTACTGATTTCTACTTTTACTCCACTGTGGTTGAGAAAGATACTGTTATAGAATCTTTCATGTGCCGTTGAGGAGAATGTACACTGCTGGGTGGAAAATTCTGTATATATCTATTAGGTCCATTTTGTTTATATTGTTGTTCAAATCTAGAGCTTCTTTCTTGAATTTCTGTCTGGGTGTTCTGTCCATTATTCAAAGTGGGGTAATGAAGTCTCCTAATATTATTGTATTGCTGTCAATTTCTCCTCTTTAGAGTTGTCAATATTTGTTTTCTATATTTAGGAGTTCCAATGTTGGATCCACATATGTTGAAAATTGCTACATCTTCCTGTTGAGTTGACTCTTTTATTATTATATAATGACCTTCTTTGTCTCCAGAGACAGTTTTAGACATAAAGTCCATTTTTTTTTCTGATAGAAGTATAGCCACTCCAACATTCTTTGGTTGCCATTCACATGAAATATCTTTTCCCATTCCTTCACTTTTAGTCTACTGTGTCTTTAAATCTAAAGTGAGTTCTTGTTTTTTACCTATTCAGGTACTGTATTCCTTTTAATAGTAAGTTTAATCCATCTACATTTAAAGGGATTATTGATAGGTGAACACTCACTATTCACATTTGGCTAATTGTCTTCTGTTTTGCAATTGTTTTTTCAATCTCTTCCACTTTTGATGACTTCCTTTGCTATTTGATTATGTTTTACAGTTATTTACTTTGATTTTTATCTCCTTATCTTTTGTATGTCTATTATAGGGTTTCCTTCTTACTTTATTGAAGTATAATTGATAAAATTGTATATAGAAAGTGTACAATGAGATGACTTGGTACACATATACATTTGGTAATGATTTCAAAATCACATTAATCACCTCACATACTTTTTTTTTTTGTAGCTGGAATGCTTAAGATTTACTCTCTTAGCAAACTTGAGCTATACAATACATTATTGCTAACTACATAATATTACTAACTACATGTACATTAGATCTTCAGAATTGTTCATCTTGTAACTGAAGGCTTACAGCCTTGGACCAGCATCTCCTCATTCCCCCCCCATCTGCAAGCCCGTGATATTTACCATTCTACTCTCTGCTTCTATGAATTTGGCCTTTTCTTTTTTTCTTTTTTGATTTTATATACAAGTTTAATCATGAAGTGTTTGTCTAACTCTGGCTTATTATGTTTAACATAATGTCCTCTAGGTTCAACAATGTTGTAAATAGCAAGATTTTCTTTTTTCTCATGGTTGAATAATATTCCATTATATATATAGATATATATCTATATATATAATCTCACATCTTCCTTATCCATCAGTGGACACTTAGGTTGTTTCTCTATGTTGGCTATTGTGAATAAAGCTATAATGAACAGGAGGGTGCAGATATTTCTTCAAGATACTGATTTCATTTCCTTCAGATATATACCCAGAAATGGGATTGCTGTATCATATGGTAGTTCTTTTAAATTTTTGAGGAACTTGCATATTGTTTTCCATATGCCTATAACAAATAACATTCCCACCCAAAGTATACAAGAGTTTCCTTTTTCCACATTCTCACCAACACTTGTTATCTCTTGTCTTTTTGATAAAAGCCATTTTAACAGGTATGAGGTGATAGTTCATTGTGGTTTTGATTTGCATATGCCTGATGATTAATGATTTTGAGTACCAATTGGCCATTTGCATATATTCTTCGGAAAAATGTCTATTCAGATCTTTGCCCATTTTTAATTGGATTTGATTTTTTTTGCTACTGAGTTGTATAAGTTGATTATATATATATATATATATATATATATCTCCCCAGATCTATGATTTGCAAATTTTTTCTCCCATTCCATAGGTTGCCTTTTCATTTTGTTGATTTGTTGAATAGAAGCTTTTTCATTTGATATAGTTTTATTTACTTCAGCTTTTGCTGTCTGTGCTTTGCTGTCATATCCAGAAAATATCATCACCGATATTTCCCTATGTATCTTCTAGGACTTCTATAGTTTCAAGTCATATTTAAGTCATCTAGAGTTAATTTTCATCAGTGGTTTAATATTGTGGTTTCATTTTTTTTTTTGCTTGTGCTGAAGACGCTACTCTCCTCATGTGTATACTTGGCACCATTATCTAATTTTAATTAAGGATATATGTGTGACTTTATTTCTGGTTCCTAATTTTATTCCATTGATCTGCCAATATGATATTATTTTCATTTTAATCACTTTATAATATAGTTTGAAATCAGGAAGCATGATGCCTTCAGCTTTGCTCTTCTTTCTCAAGATTGCTTTGGCTCTTTGGGAGTCTTTGTGGTTCCATGTAAATTTTAGGAGTGTTTATTCTACTTCTGTGAAAAATGCCAGGGCTATCTTGACGTGAATTGTGTCTCTTGATCGCTTTGGGTAGTATGCACATTTTAACAATATTGATTCTTCCAATCCATGAACATAGGCTATCTTTCCATTTATTTGTATCTTCTTCAATTTATTTTATCATTGTCTTATTGTTTTCAGGATACAAGTCTTTCACTCTTTGGATAGATTTATTCCTAGGTATCTTATCATTTTTGATGCTATTGTAAATGGTATTGTTTTTTAAATTTCTCTTTCTGATAGTTCATTATTCATTACACAACAGATTTTTGTGTATTGATATTGTATCCTGCAACTTTACTGACTTCATTTATTAATTCTAAGAGGTGTGTGTGTGTGTGTGTGTGTGTGTGTGTGTGTGTGTGTGTGGAGTCTTAGGGTTTTCTCTATATATGTCATCCACAAACAGAGATAATTTTACTTCTTTATTTTTTATTTGGGTACCTTTTATTTCCTTTTGTTCAACAGTGGTGAAAGTGTGTATCCTTGTCTTTTTCCTGATCCTTGAGGAAAAGCTTTCAGCTTTTCACCATTATATATGATGTTAGTTATAGGCTTCTTATTTATGGCCTTTACTATGTTGAGGTATATTTCTTCAGTACCTAATTGTTGAGAGTTTTTATCATAAATGGATTGTGAATTGTGTCAAATGCTTTTTCTCTAACTATTGGGATGATTATATGATTTTTAACCTTTGTATTTCTAATGGGGTTTATCACATTACTGATTTGCATCTGTTGAACCATCCTTGAGGCCCATGGGTAAACCCAATTTCATTATGGTGTATGAATCTTTTAATACGCTGTGGAATTCCATTTGCTAATATTTTGTTAAGCATATCTGATCTATGTTTATCAGTGATACTGGCCTATAATTTCTTTT